CAATTTGCTAGCATATTTTTGAGAATTTTTGCATCCATGTTCATCAGGGTTATTGGCCTGTAGTTCTCCTTTTTGTGGGGTCTCTGTCTGGTTTGCAAATCAAGGTAACACTGCTTCATAGAATGAGTCCAGAAGCTTTCCTTCCGTTTCTATTTTTTGGAATAGCTTGAGAACCATAGGTAGTAACTTTGCTTTAAATGTCTGGTAGAATTCCCCTGGGAAGCCATCTGGCCCAGGACTCATTTATTGGGAGATTTTTGATAACCGATTCATTTTCTTAGCTAGTTATGGGTCTGTTAAAATTTTCTATTTCTTCCCATTTGAGTTTTGGTAGTGTGTGGGTGTCTAGGAATTTGTCCATTTCTTCCAGGTTGTCCAGTTTGTGGTATATAATTTTTCATAGCATTCCCTGATAATTGTTTGTATTTTTGAGGGGTTAGTTGTGATATGCCCAATTTCATTTGTGATTTTATCTATTTGGGTTTTCACTATTTTTGAGAAGTCTGGCTAGGGATTTATCGATTTTGTTTATTTTTTTCAAAAAACCAGCTCTTAGTTTCATTGATCTGTTCTACTGATTTTTGGATTCCATATTGTTTATTTCTGCTCTGATCTTTATTATCTCTCTTCTCCTGGCCTTTGGGTTCTTTGATGTTCTGCTTCTAGTTCCTTTAGGTGTGCTGTTAGATTTTGTATTTGGGATTTTTCTTGTTTCTTGAGATAGGCCTGGATTGCAATGTATTTTCCTCTTAGGACCGCCTTTACTGCATCCCAAAGGGTTTGGACTGTTGTTTTCATTTTCATTTGCTTCCATATATTTTTAAATTTCTTCTTTAATTGCCTGGTTGACCCATTCATTCTTTAGTAGGATGTTCTTTATCCTCCATGGATTTGAAGGCTTTCCAAATCTTTTCCTGTGGTTGATTTCAAGTTTTATAGCATTGTGATCTGAAAATGTGCATAGTATGATCTCAATTCTTTTATATTTATTGAGGGCTGTTTGGTGACCCAGTATGTGATCCATGTTGGAGAATGTTCCATGTGCACTCAAGAAGAATGTGAATTCTGCTGCTTTAGGGTGAAAAGTTGTGATATATCTGTCAAGTCCATCTGGTTCGGTGTATCATTCAGGGCCATTGTTTATTTATTGATTTTCTGCCGAGATGATCTTTTAATTTTTGTAAGTGGAGTATCAAAGTCATCTGCAATTACCACATTATTATCAAAAAGATTGCTTATGTTTGTGATTAACTGATTTATATATTTGGATGCTACCGAATTGGATGCATAAACATTTATCATTGTTAGCTTTTCTTGATGGATAGATCTCTTAATTATGATATAATGCCTTTAGTTTAAAATCTAGTTTGATATAAGTATGCCTACTCCAGCATTCTTTTGACTTCCAGTAGCATGATAGATAGTTCTCCATCCATTCACTTTCAATCTGAAAGTTCCTCAGGTCCAAAATGGGTCTCTTGTAGACAGCAAATAGATGGGTCTTCCTTTTTTATCCATTCTGCTACCCTATGTCTTTTTATTGGAGCATTTAGTCCATTTACATTCAGAGTTATTATTGAAAGATATGGATTTAGTGTCATTGTGTTATCTGTAGGTTTCATGCTTGTGGTGATGTCTCTGGTCCTTTGTAGTTTTTGCAACACTCCACTCACAGATTCCTCCTTAGGATCTCTTGTAGGGCTGGTTTAGTAGTGGTGAACTCCTTTAGGTTTTTGTTGTTGTTGTTGTTGTTGATTGGGAAAATCTTTATCTTCCTTCTATTCTGAATGAAAGGAATGCTGGATAAAGGATTCTTGGCTGCATATTTTTCTTATTCAGCCCTTTGAATATCTTCTGCCACTCCCTTTTGGCCTGCCAAGTTCAGTGGATAGATCTCCTACTATCTTTATTTGTCTACCCTTGTAGGTTAAGGCCTGTTTATCCCTAGCACCTTTCAGAATTCTTTCTTTATTTTTGTATTTTGCCAGTTTCACTATGATATGTCATGGAGAAGACTGCTTTCTGTTACATCTGAAAAAAGTTCTCTGTGCCTCCTGGATTTCAATGTCTGCTTCCTTCCCCGGATTGGGGAAGTTCTCAGCTATGATTTGTTCAAGTAAACCTGCCCCTTTCTCTCTTCTACTAGAACTCCTACGATACAAATATTATATTTTATTAAATCACTTAGTTCTCTAATTCTCTCCTCATGGTCTAGAATTCTTTTATCTTTTTCTCAGCTTCATCTTTGTCTATAATTTTATCTTCTATTTCATTTATTCTCTCCTCTGCCTCTTCAATACTCGCTGTCACTGCATCTAGTTTATTTTGCACCTCATTTATAGCATTTCTTAATTTGTCATGACTATTTTTTAGTTCCTTGATGTCTGCAGCAATAGATTCTCTGCTGTCTTCTATGCTTTTTTCAAACCCAGAGATTAATCTTACGACTAGTATTCTAAATTCTTGTTCAGTTATATTGTTTATATCTGTTTTGAACAATTCTTTAGCTGTCATTTCTTCCTGGAATTTCTTTTGAGAAGAATTCTTCTGTTTCGTCATTTTGGCTAGTTTTCTGTTGCTTATGGTTTTAAAGGCTTGTTATGTGTCCTGCACCTGCAAGCAGTACTATATTAGAAGGGTCATACACTGTCCAGGGCCTGGCCCTTCAGGAGGTGTTTCTTGGAGTTTGTTACTTGCCCTGTGCTGTTGTGACTCTGGTTGCTTTATCTCCTTACTCGTAGTGGTGGTTTGAACTTCCCTCCAGGTGTTCTTTGATTGATTTGTTCATTGAAGTAACCCTGGAAAAAAATTGTTTTATTTTTTTTTTTTAATTTTTTTTATGTTATATTTTTTTCTAGGAGAGAGAGAGAGACAGCGTGAGCAGGGGAGGGTCAGAGAGAGAGGGAGTCACAGACTGAAACAGGCTCCAGTCTCCGAGCCGGCAGTCAGCACAGAGCCCGACGCGGGGCTCGAACCCACGAAGCGAAAGTTGGACGCTTAACCGACTAAGCCACCCAGGCGCCCCGAAAAAAATTGTTTTAAAAAAGGGGAGGCAGTGATGGTGGAAGAGGCCTTATCCCATACAAAGAGAGAAATAACAGGGGTGGGGAAAAAGAAAAGAAAGTTGACTAGACCGAGAAACTATATGGCTTAATCCACAGAGAGAGAGAGGAAAATAAGGATATATAGAACAGGTGTAAAGAGAATATATTAAATATGTCTGCTTAAACAAACTAACAAACAGAATAACCAAACTAGAGAAGGGAGAACATAAGAAGGAAGAAAGGAAGAAAAAATATATAATAAGAATTGTTCAAGAATTAAATCAGAAAATGCAAAAACTCTGGGTGCGCGGGAACCCGTGGCAGCACTGTGTGGAGAAGGGGCTCTCTGGTTCCTCAGCATCAATCCAGCTCCAGGAGATAACACAGCTACCAAGCATGAAGGGCGTGGTTTGGTGTAGGCAGGTCCAGCCTCCACTGTGGCCCTTGTCTGTTCCATGAAGCCCCACCTTGCTGATGATGGGGAGGAAAATGGCGACACCTTATTGTTTCAGCTCCGGACCAGGTGTCCCAAACCATTCTGTTCAGGCTATCTTCACAGTGCTTCAGAGGCGTGACTGGGCTATTTTTTGTTTGTTTGTTTTGTTTTTTTGTTTGTCTGGTTTTTGCTCCAGTAACCTGTGCCTTCCTGGCTCTCATCTCGGATTCAAACCCCAATGTCTTAAGTGATCCTGCTCTGTGTGCCCTGGTTCTGGGGAAGTGCCACTCTGCCCCACCAATGAATAGCCTCTGGCTCCTCACAGTGCCACACGTGCATGAACAAAGCAATTTGTTCCGCTCCATCAACTCCCCTGCCTCCCTAGCGCTTGGCTGGGATTCAAACTCTGATGTTTTAAGGGATCCCCAGTACCAGGAAAATGCTGCTCCATCCTGCTGATAAAGGGCCTCTGGCTGGCAGGTGCAGGCAGGGATCTTTGCCCTTGGAATGGCTATATACCTTCTTCCCAAAGCACTCAAGGGAGTGGATTGATTACTCCCACTGCAGACAGAGCCTCGGAGCTAGTTACCTAGTCAGGGCTGGCTCTCCTCTTCCCCAGGTGCCCAAACAGGGCAGCCTGCCCCAGTCCGGAGGAAGCCCCGCAGTTAGAAATTGGATATTTTTATGTTTTTTTCTAATCCCCGGCCCGTGGTTTTTCTTTTGTGCAAATACAGTCTTACACTTCCACAGCCTCTTTCTCTTCCTTTTGTCTCCTTGAAGATGGAGATCCCTCCTCTCTATGCCTATGCCATTCATTTTGTCTCTCCCAGTTCACAGTCATGAACCTATGGCCTGCCAGGTTGTTCCCATCAGCCTCTTCAGATGTCTCTGTCACTCTGCAGCCTGAACTCTTGGAATTCTGACTCCTCTGTCCTCAACACTGCTGTGTTTGAAGGATGAGGGAACTTCAGGTCCCCCTACTTCTCTGCCATGTTGAAACTCTCCAGCTGTTACTAGCCTCAGTAACCTTGCTGGAACCATAGTGCTTGGCAGGAACCCCCCGTCAGCAGGGAATAATGTTCAATTTATGAGAAGGGTAGTTATTTGTGATTTCCTCTTTGTGTTCTTCATAGTCTAGACCAGTGTCTATAGGAGGATTCTTTTGTACAGACACTGAAAGAAAATTCAAAGCCTGAGCAAGAGCAAGCACACACAGAAATGTATCTTCCTCAAAGAAAAAAGCTTCACGAACTATTCTCTGTCTTATGGCATGTTCTGTTTTTATTTATTTAGGCAATTCTTTCTTCATTATACTCTTGGTATTTACACGAGGATCTTAGTTGACAGGGAGTCAGTGTCTTTTTCTCCGCAGTTACCCAACCCTCTGCTCTTTGATGCTGATCAACAGTAACAGCAGAATTCCCAAACTGTGAGCTGCACTTACTAGGACTAAAACCTCTCTGCCTATAAAGTAGTCATGGATGTCACACCCAGGCTTTTAGTTGTATCTAAAAATTCCATGAGGAGAAGACTTCCATTTCAAGGTGAGAACCTGCTTGGAGAATTTAATGGAGAGTGGCTTCTTTTACTTAGCAATATTAACTTAAGTTTCATCCTTTTTGTTTGTTTGTTTGTTTGGCTTGATGGCATTAAAAAAGTGGTTAAATATGGATGTACCAGTTTACTTATCATTCAGCTCTTGAAGGACATCTTGCTTACTTCTAGTTTTGGATGATTAATGATAAAAGCTGGTATCAACAATAACATGCAGGTTTTTTGTGTGAGTGTAAGTTTTGAAATCGGGTAAGTACCTAGTAGTGTGATTGCCGGGTCATATAATAAGTCGATGTTTAGCTGGGCTGCCTTTTACTTTTTAAACTGAAAGTAGTAATTGACTGAATCCAATTGATTTTTTGAAAACTAGATGCCTGCATGGTGAGTGAATCTTACTCCCTAGTCTCAATACAGAGGAGATTATTGTATTAATGAATAGTATGATGGTTTTTATTGGGTAAATTGAATAATATAACAGAAAACATTTTGCAACATAGCTTTATTTATTGTTTCTCTCCCAAACTATCTTATTTGTATAAATGCAACCAAAAAATCACTGCTTCCTTCTTAGTAGTAGTAGTAATAGTAGTAGTAGTAAAATGACACACTATTACAAATAGGGAGTCTGCCTCATTTGATTTTTGGCTTTTCCTTTTCTTTTGTTCCCCAACAGTGTTTAGTTTATTCTTCTTCATTTTTGAACTAATAAAATGCTGGTGACTGTATAAATACTCCTAAGCATTTAATAACATGTTTATTAACATAGATATTTTTAAACTTCAGAGGAGATGTGGAGAAACAGGCTTTAGTGCCTCAGTAATTCCATCCCCCTTGTTACTTATCCCTTCTTCCTAGGCCCCTCACTATCTTACAGTAATTGATCACTTTGGGGCTCCTCCTCCAGAGATGTTTCTGCAGAGTAAACAAGTGAAGGTGGTAGTAGATTTGAAACTTGGGGACATCACGCTTCTCAAAGCTCACTAGGAACTTACCATAAAAGCTGCCTGCAAGTCCAAACTAAGTCTTTTGGATAGACAGAAAGAACTCCTAGCCACCAGGTCAAATTAATGTCTTCTGGGTCTTTGGGCACAATGGACAGGCTTTCAGCTGAGAGGTGCCAGAAACTGATTTAGTTAATAGAAACCCTAGCCATACTAAATATACATTATCTTTGATCCATTACAAATGCCCCCCCCTTTTTTTAAATGTTTATTTATTTTTGAAAGAAGAAGACAGAAGATCTGAAGCCGGCTCTGTGCCCAGTGTGGGGCTCGAATTCACAAACCTTGAGACCATGACCTGAGCTAAAGTTGGATGCTTAACCAGCTGAGCTGCACAGGTGCCCCCTCTTGTTTTTAAACACTCAGGATAGAGTTTTGTACCCTTCTTCCCCACTCTTGGTAAGGAAATGAAAAGAGGATAAGTACATGATTTGGGTGCATATAAGCATTGCTGAAAGCAGGACAAAACCAAGTAGTTTGTGGGCTAGGGCAGAAAACAGTAATAGGAAGAGAAGCAAAGGAAGGTGCTGGCATTTTTTGCCAAATTCCACTTTGCATCTTTGGTCCTAACTTGCTATTGTGACAGATACATTTTATTCTGTTTAAAGGCTTGATCTAGTCTTGGCAAGGAGAAAACTCCATTCTGCATCTTTCTGCTTTGGCAGTGACTTTGCTAATAGCAGGGAAAGGGGACCTGTGTGTCTGAGATGGCTCTAACATAGCTTCCTTTCTCCTCTCCCCAAAAATTAAGATCTCACACCTATACTAGGACTTTAAGTGGATGATAAAGAGTGCAACAAGAACATGACTTTTAACACATCAGACTGAAAAAATGTGTATGAAGGTGAGTATTGTTTGCTTTCAATCACTCTGGATGCAGGGTTGTAGCTAGAAGGGACTGAAAAGCTGAGACTGTTCTTCTCATGAGCACACTAATCAGATTTTCTACATTGGAATAAAAATGGGTCTTTAATGCTTTTAAGATTCTAGGACATTTGGGTTTTTTTCTTAATTAAAAGGACACTTCAGTTTATAAAGATGACCGCTGGAGATGAACCCTTGATTTTTCCTCCCCTCTTTCTATGATTCCACCCAGTCAGGACTGGCAATGGCTTTGTTGGCACCTTCCCCTCTTCACTCAGTAAACATTTGCTGAATGCCTGGTATGTGTCAGGCACTGGGAGTAATAACTACAAAGGGATTATATGCATAGCTACTTACAGGCAGTGTTGTATGATAGTTTAGTGATTATGAACTTTGGAACCAGTGAGTTCTGACTTCCAGTCCCAGTTCCATCATATATTGAGGATGTGGACTTGGCCTTGGGACTAAGTCATCATAGGCTTTAGTTTTTCACTCTGCAAAATGGGGCAGTGAGATTAACAACCTCAGAGATTACGTATGAATATAAAATGAGGCAAAATAAAACACTTCAAACATTGCAAGCTTGAGAAATGTTACCATTATTCCCATTATTCCATGTTACTATTATTAATTATCCAGGGGATAACAGTTTAACGTTCAGTTGTATAATTTTTTGTAATTTTCAAGATAACCTTATGAAAAGAATATTATGATATTGTTATTTTCATATTACAGATGAGTAAACAAAGACCCATAAAGGTTAAAGACCTTCTCAAGTTTACACATGTAGTAAGTGGTTCATCCAGGATCAGAGTCCTTGATTTTATGTTCAGTACTCTATTCTATATTACAGCCTTTTCAAGTTCTCTGAGTTGATTCAAACAGGAATTACTTAGTGAACTCATCTGTCATTGATTATGATGAGTTTAACATCATCACTGGTTCTTTCTTTTATCAATTAAAAATGCTTATTTATTTATTTTGAGAGAGGGAGGGAAAGGGAGAGAGAGAGAAGAGAGAGAGAGAGAATGAGCAAGGAAGAGGCAGAGAGAGAGGGAATCACAAGCAGGCTCCATGCTGCCAGCACAGAGCTTGATGTGGGGCTTGAACCCATGAACAGTGAGATCATGACCTGAGCCAAAATCGAGAGTCAGATGCTTAACCAACTGAGTCACTCAGGCACCCATCCTCTATCAATTTTTAATGTTTATTTATTTTTGAGAAAGAGTACAGGAGTGAGGGGGGAGGGGCAGAGAGAGGGAGAGAGAGAGAATCCCAACCAGGCTCCATGCTGTCAGCACAGAGCCTCATGTGGGGGCTTTATCCTAGAAACTGTGAGATCATGGCCTGAGCTGAAATCAAGAATTGGACACTTAATTGATTAAGGCACCCTAGAGCCCCATCTTTTATCAAATTTTAGCAAACCTTTCTAACTCCCTGATGAAGTCACTGCTCTTATTGCAATCAATCCCTTTTTCTTCACCATTATAGTTTTTCTCTTGTCTCCTTATTCTCCCAGTGGAGAATCTGAACAGTTTTCTATAAGAAACACACTGCATGCATGGTAGTTTGTAGCTCAATTCTCACGAAATCATAAAATAAAAAGGGACTGTCAGATCATTTTTATTGCAGCTGGTTCTTGTAACATTTAAAGACTTCAAAGCAGACAAAAGAAATGAAGAATTGAAGGTTCTCCACCTGTATATGGGTTTTTGTCTCATGTTTCTGTTTGCCAAGCTCATATTACTCAGACTTATAGTATATATCAAGCCTGCTTCCAGGAAGAACATGAAATTATTTGCAATGAAAAGCATAACAACTTGCAGAATTTTTGTGGGGCCTAGAACTGATAGAGCCACAGAATCTCATAATGGCAAGATGTTGGTTTAAACAACAGATGTATGGAGTTCAAGTTCAAATGGGAACAGACAGTAGGTGGGGTAAGGGTGGGTGTGTGAGCCAGATGGGATGGAGGATGGATAGTAGTGAAGACTGGGAACTGAAGACCAATGTCTCCTTAAAATTTACCTCCAGTAAATTATCATCTTAGATGAATATTGCTTTGGTGCTATTAGCCACAAAATTTTAAATGAGATACTAGAAATTATAATCCAACAAAATCTCCCAATTTTAAAAGTTTTATGCGTGTCAAACAAAATAGGAGTTTCCAGCTTTGGTTCAAAGATCACACAGTTGTGATCTTTGGAAAGATATTAACTGACTATATACTTATCACTTGCCACGCCCTTGACAATTGATGGAGATTTAATGATGAACAAAATAAATGTTTCTGTTTTTCCCCTGTTGCATCTCTGAGCTCTGTCCCCAGGGTGTCTGGGAATCCAATCTTTCACTTATAAATTGGCTCCCCTATTACATCTCATGTGTATCCCTCTTGCTTCTGTGTAATCCCAAATTGCTCCTAGTCAATTTTCCTTCCCCTATCTCCTCACTTTCTTGTTTTAATTTTCATTATGCATTTTTAAATGTATGTAAAACGTTCCCTGTCAAGCTTGTTTAACCATTAGTTCTAATGAAGCAAGCTGATTGTGGACAAGAACACTAAGAGCTTTGTATACACATCAGTGTCCAGCCCTTACCATCTCAATATGCTCAGTCCAAAGGCATGAATAAGAGTATAGCTAATAACCTGTATACCAATGGAGAGATGAGATATTGTTGCAAGGAGGAAAGCTCATGTCATTAAGATCAAGTCTTTCTGAACTCAATATTAGTAGAGGCAAAAATAAAATTTAAAAGACTTGGGTATCTCAAAGCTTCTTGAAGTCATTGGCAATCTATCTCGAAGGTAATCCTAAGAAGTATTCTGTTAAACAGAAGAGGGACAACTGGAGAAGTCACAGAAAGAATCAACGTGGTATGGAAATAACCTTTGCCTAACTAGTTGATTTTTCCTTCAACTTCTATTCAAGTGGAGTGAATTTGTTACATAATTTTGATTTCTTTCTTGGTACCATTATTTATAGCTCCTATTTAAGATAAATGCTTAATTTACCTTCTTGCTCATTTATTTGAAATTTGTTGCATTATTATCAATTGATTTTCCTGAAAGGTATGGACAGAAGCTATCCCTGAAAAGTGGATGTCTCACAAAATTTTGTCCCACAAAGCTGAGTGTTCCACTGTCTCTGGTATATAAGAACCAATATTTAGAAATGAATCTATCTGCCTTATATTTGACTCAAATGTTACAGAGGGTGGGAAAGATACAATCATATGTAATATTTATAAGAAAATGATTTTTTAAATGGTTGTATGATTCTCAGATTAGTCATCCAGAGTCGTTTCATCCACATGAGAAATTAAACAGGTCAACAGAGTAGAGAGGAGGAGAGATTTTTTTTTAGTTAATATTTATTTATTTATTTATTTATTTTTTACAAATAGTTTATTGTCAAGTTGGTTCCCATATAACACCCAGTGCTCATCCCCACAAGTGCCCTCCTCCATGTCCATCTCCCCCCTTCCCCCCACCCCTATCAGTCCTCAGTTTGTTCTCAGCATTCAAGAGTCTCTCATGGTTTGCCTCTCTCCCTCTCCCCCACTATTTCCCCCCTTCTTCTGAGAATTTTTAAAAATCATTTAGAATAATCAGTAGTCTGAGTCTGAAACCATCCACTTCCAACAAGAAAGAGTGTTTTGAAGTACCTGTCCCATTGTATTAATAGGTGTGCAGATGGGAGACTTCAACAGAGCTACTTGGAGATTTCACTAAATGCATATTTTACTTGGGAGTGGGCAGAGTGAACCAGGAAATTCTGGGGGTTGAGAAAAGAGCCAACAGCTTCTAGAGTGGTAGATTCAAGAAAGCCTTGGCTGCTGCAATGCTTTTGAGTCAAATGATGAAAGAGACTTTCCTGTGTGTTGGAGGAGGGTCATGGTGAAGGGAGAGGTAGTGCAGGGTTGTCTTGAGTCTAATCCATTAGGGCCACCAGAAGGACAAAAGGAACAAGTAGCACGATGCTGGGAGAGAATGGTGGATCTCCAGAGGCTTCAAAAGGTAATATAAGCTTCAATGGAGCAGATGCACCAGCCCAGACTGGGGACCTGCAGGCCCGTTGTCCCAGTAAAGAGGCTTCTAAGAACCCACATTTTTCCCCATGAGTAGAAGAGTCAGCTCTTTAAACACCTCTCAGGCTCAGTTTGGAAGAGTAACAACTTTTTTGTAACTCTCCCCTTCCCTATGCATGGCCCAATCAGGAGGACCCAATGGCCCTGCTGACATGCTGTCAGGGAAGGAGCAGGGAGAGAGAGAAGCTTCCCACAGCTTCTCTTTCAAGCCTAAAGGGCTACCTGCAAGGAGCCCTTGCTGGGAGAGGACAAGACTGAATGTTAAGTGAGGTTATGAGTTTTTAGTATTCATGGGAGTGGGCCTCCAAGTAGTGAATTTAGATTCTGTTTGTAACTGAAATTGGTTGTGATACATTTATTACTGTGAAAGTCATGTATCTGCTGGAGTTTTCATCCAATTGCAGGGGGAAATAGATGGAAAGGACAAGAGGAAACAAAAATGTAGAATTTAGGTCACATCTAAAGATCCATGCTTGTCTTTTAAATCCATTATGTATATTAATAACCCACTTACTATTCTTAAATCCCACAACAGAGGGTGTGGAGTCTTCTGACCTGAAAGGGCTGAAGAGGAGATGGAAACATCTAATGATAGCACAGGTGGGGATTTCATCTTAGTGGGCTTCTCTGAGCGGCCCGAGTTAGAGCTGATCCTCTCTCTCTTTGTCCTGATGTTCTACACCATAACTCTTTTGGGCAATGTGGCCATCATCCTGCTCTCTATCCTGGATGCTGCACTCCATACCCCCATGTACTTTTTCCTCAGAAACCTCTCTGTGCTTGACCTCTGCTTCACCACCAGCATTGTGCCCCAGATGCTGGTGAACATGTGGGGAGGCAACAAGAAGATCAGCTATGCTGGCTGCATGGTCCAGTACTGGGTGGCCTTGGCACTTGGCTCCACTGAGTGTGTGCTCCTTGCGGTGATGGCAGTTGACCGCTATGTTGCAGTTTGCTTGCCTCTGCGCTATGCTTCCATTATGCACCCCAGGCTGTGCCACCTCCTGGCAGCAGCTTCCTGGTTCTCTGGTTTTGCTAACTCATTTCTACAGTCCTCAATGGCCATGGTGCTGCCTCGATGTGGAAACCGGCGTGTGGACCATTTCTTCTGTGAACTATTGATCATTGTTAAACTCTCCTGCATCGATACTGGCCCAACAGAATCTAAAATGTTTATTGCCCGGCTAATCGTCCTAGGCATGCCTGTCTCCATCATCCTAACCACTTATGTCTGCATTGACAGGGCAGTAGTAAAAATGCGCTCAGCAGAGGGAAGGAAAAAGGCCTTTAGGACCTGTGCCTCCCACCTAATGGTAGTTTCACTCTTCTATGGGACCATTATGTTTTTGTATCTGCAGCCCAAAGACAACTACTCCCAGGACCAGAGCAAAGCACTGGCAGTGCTTTACATGATCCTTGCACCCACACTCAACCCTCTGATCTACACGCTGAGGAATAAGGATGTGAAGAAAGCAGTCAGGAAGTTGATGGGGAAGGAGCAGGTATAGGGAGATTGAGGCAACTGGAAACACAACCTGGGGCATACTTGCTTTAACTGCACTTGTTTTATGTTTCTGTGAGGAGGTTAGGAAATCTGCTGTGTTCTCTTCTCTAGCTATTCCTGGGATCCTTACAGGGTGAGGACTCACCAGAAGGAAACCTAATCACCCTTAAAGGAACCTCTGGCCAAGGCAATCTCCCCTGGCAAGTAATTCTGTGTTCCACTGCTAATGTTTTTCTATTTTTAATGTATAGTTACTAACTTACTCAAATGCCACCAAATATACACCTAGATGTTAACACCGATGGTCACTCTGCTGCATTTATTAAGCAGTTACATGGCCATACAAGCTTCTTCATTTTCTCCATCACCACTTTCACTGAACCATCATCAAAACAGTTGGGCAAATGGAGGATTTAGTCAGTAACATACAATGCAATACTTGTCCATCATGAATAAATACATATATGAAACAAGAAAAAAGAATAAGAACCAAGAGACTATGTGGTATACCAAGGATTACTGTTTCTTAGAACTGAACGGAATACCATGACTTCAAGGCAAGGCTGTAGAACATGTCACATTTCATCTAATTTAGCGCGGTTTTAGAAGAGATGTTTGAATAATAGAAATAAACATGTTTGCCTGCCGGAACTATAAAACAGCTTATAAATTTAAAAATCACACAAAAAAATAACTGAATAAAGAGAACTGTGAGTAAGGTAGAGACAAGGCAACTTATGTCAATGAGACTCTAAACAGAATTATCTGCTTACTTTCATAGAAGCAGAGAAGTACAGAATTAAAAAGCACTATTTTGAGTATGGAAGTGAAAGCAAAAGGAGTCAGGGGGCTTGATTTGCACTGCTACATCCAGTGGTTTTCACATGGCAATGATCCGTGGTTCCAAATCCACATTGACATTAACAAGTTGCTCAGCAATTCTGTGGCCTAATATGGTACCCAAGTACATCCTAATTTTCTGAGTTTTGTCTCAGCTTATAATGACATATCCTTGTAAGAGAAAGTCTCCATTAATTAAAATAGGACTTGAGAAAAACACCCTCTCATTTTCAGGAGAGCAGTCTTTTCTTATGTGGCTCTGCATGTCATGCTATTATGACCAGCTACAATAGGATTACTTTACTTTGTAAGTAATAGGATTACTTACAAAGGGATTACTTTATTACATTGCTCATCCATGTGTTTAGAAAGGAGTCTAACACTGTAAATAATCAATAGGCTGAATGAATGAATGAATGAATGAATGGATATGGGAGGATATCCATACAAGATGGCAGCAAAGTTTAGAATGCTATATGCAATATTTCATTCTATAGGATGAACATTTTGTATTGGCAAGCGACTGAAGGTGCATATTGAAAATAAAATTATCATACAGATGACCAGCTACAGCCATATCTACTGAACTCCACTGTAATAACCACACTAAACCACAATAGACAGGGATTAGTCCAAATACAAATAATTACTTTAAAGGGAGAAAAAAAAATAACTGGTGTTTTTTAACACCTTTTCAATTAGAGCAGTGATTCTCAAGAAGAGACAATTTTGCCCCACTCCCACCCTTTCAGAGGACACTTGCAATGTCTAGAGATATTTGTGGTGATCACAACCTAGGAGGGAGGTATTACTGGCATCTCGTAGGGATGCTGCTAAACATTGTACAATGCACAGGATAGTCTTCTACAACAAGGAATTAACCAGCCCCAAATGTCAACAGTGCTGAGGTTGAGAAGCCCTAAATTAGAGAAATAAATATTATGGATGTTCTGATCAAAGACATAACATTTATGAAGGCCACATATTCATGACAGTCAGGTAAGTTGATATCATTTGAATTTTTATGAAGTCAGCGATCACTCAGTGTCAGAACGGGTCTAAGTAGGAAAAGAGAAACAACTCTAAATATTTACAGTGGAGGCTATTTAATGCAGAGCATTGGTGACACAAGTGATAAAAGGACCGCAAATCCAAACAGGAGATACTGAAGAAACCCTGAGATTAGTAACAGTATGAAACTGCTAACATCTCTAGACTTGAAATAGAAGGAGAAGGTGGTGTCAGTAGAACCCAAGGGGCAGGGTCATCTGGAAGAAACTGCAATCAGCACGGCAGGCCAGCCTTGCAGGAACTGGAGCAGCAGCATTCCACTGCTACTGCCCGAGGTGCCACCTGAAGCTGACTGGGAGGAGAGGGAGGAGGCACTAGCTCGCCTTATCTCTTTATTCTCTCTCAGATATTCTATGGATATGAGAAGCAAGGAAATGCAGCCCGCAGGGTCATCAGTGCCTCATTCCATCCCCACTCTACCCCATCACAAACTAAACAGATCGAGGAAGGGCAATAAATGTGTCTGGAGACCAAGAGGCTCAGGGTTGTCACCATTAATCTTCATTATCTTCTGCATCCTGTCTCATCTTCTATGAATGTTTTCTCTCAGAAAATTCAGGCCTTCACTTTCATAGGCAACTCCCCACCCCTCTCCAGCAAGTGGGCCACATGTCCTGCCAGTTTTGTGTCCATCTCAAGCCCATTATTTCAGGACTGTCCACTGTACTTTTCATCTCGTCCGAGTAACTTCTTAGGGTCTGAAGGTCTCTGTATGGAATAGAAAATAATTGGCTAATATAGACATAAAAACATCCATAGTAGCCACAGTCTTCATTCCTGTAATGGGTCATGAGGCCACTGCTGGTATTGATTTCAATCACATTATTTTATGATCCACTTCATGTTACTTTTGTTTTCAAACACTACCTGGTGTACCAACCTTTTATTTCGGGAAGCTATGGAGCCTTTGTTGGACTGTCATAGTTTTCAAATGATGCTATCAAACATGGCAGTACGAAGACTTACCCAGAGAATTCCATGGGTTCCAAAAATAGTGTTTCTTATTCTCATTGTATAACAACCAGCTTATTTCCCTTGATAATTGGGATTATGCACCCCATATAAAAAATCAATACTCTTAACTAATTGTCAGTTCAATTGTCTCATGGCATGAGGCCTACCACACCAGGTGAAATCATAAGTATTGTGTCCCCTGGTTAACACACTTATCTTTTGAGAACTAAGACCTCAATAGCAGCAGAGTTTAAAGTTGTGGGGATGGAAAGAAAAACTTAAGTGGGACATTGGGTGGTGAGAGTATTCACACTCATTTCTGCTCCTTGATTCCTGGACTCATGTATTCTGTCTTTGTGGAAAAAGTATACCAGATATACAAAGTATATAATACATAATATATATACCCATAGGTATTATATCAAAGCTGATGAGATAACATTTTTCAGTGGGTCATCCAAATTGTCTATCAGGCTACTTACTTCTAGATATTGCGGTACGTGGAAAGAACACTACCTTTTATGGACATGAAGTCATTGTTACATTTTTGTTATGTTGAAATGAGCTTGGAAGGGTGCTATGTGGAATACCATGATAGTGAATGAGGCATTCCTTGAGTCCACAGATAATGATTCAGAAGCATAGCAGAGAAGAAAGGAAAATCCTTATGTAGAATATGTCTTGTTACAGTGATGAAAATTTTTATGTTGGAATAAACTTGCCTTCAGAAAGATAGCTTGAAGATTCAGGGAATGACAGATAGTTAGGGTTCAATGTGAAACTTTAGTTTTGCCATTGAAGGCACTCAGCTCTAGTGGTAGGCAGATCAGCATAGTAAGGAAATATCTATTCCACTAAGCCAGTGCATAGCCTCCATTCCCAACCCCCCTCCCCCCGCCCTGGCCAATTTATACACAGGCCCACTGAGTAACTTTTGGAGTGGCTGAGGAAAGAGGTTGACTGATATCCATCCACATGCTCAGAAATATTCTCCCTTCCTGTGTCCATTCTCAGAGGCTTCTCTGTATATACCTTCCTCAGGGCCCATTAACCATCTGGGATTTATTTCTTGGAAAGAAAATATCAGAAGAGGATATGACTCTGCACTAAAACCCTAAGATGTTTTGTGTTATTTATCTATTGGGTTTTTTCAGAAGAACTACCCCGAATCCCTATTTGCCCTTATGAAACGTTGGAATTGGACCTATTAGTTCTTAAAACCCAAGTGGCACACTGGCTTCTACTGCACCCTGTATTTGTCATACAGCATTGAGACAGTCGTATGGACTAATGACGGGGGGTGGGGGGAGGGGTGGAAGCCTGGAACAACATAACCAAATGTGGTGTATCTTGCATTCCAAATCCAAAGTGGCTGAGCAATTGCTGTGACTCTTTCTTTGTTTCTTTCTTTCTTTCTTTTTTTTTTTTACAAATAGTTTATTTTCAAATTAGTTTCCACATAACACCCAGTGCTCATCCCCACAAGTGCCCTCCTCCATACCCCTCCCCCCTCCCCCCCCCACATCCATCAGTCCTCAGTTTTTGTCAGCATTCAAGAGTCTCTCATGGTTTGCCTCTC